TACAATGGAAAGGAAAAATTACAAGAATGAAAATGAGCCCAATATTGGGTACCAAAAGCCCTAAGGCCCATGAAGCCCAAAACTAGGCCCAACAAGCCTAAAACCTAAAATGCTACTCTATGTGGTCCAAAATACAAGACCAAAATATATGATACCTATACTAACATGATGTATACAAAACATATGAAAATAACTATAACAAAAATATGGCCCATGAAAAGTTCAACTTGGGCCTTCCCAGGCCCATCTGGCTCATTGGGCCCTGACTGGCCCAAACCTTCATGTCTAGCCAACTCCTCTTGGATCTTTGAGTGTGTCACCTCTTGCATTCCCAAGTATGATTCCATCAGTACATATGCAGGAGTACTAGAAACAACAGGTAGTGGGTCAATTGGTTTATTAGAGGTCAATTGATCCATGACGCCCACCAACATGTTGGTGACATTTTCGTATTGAGAATCCTGAAGGGAGTGATCATTCTAAATTTGAGTGGTGAGTAAATTGAGTTTTTCAATAAGAACGACCAGAGGATCCTCCAAATCTTTGGAGGAATTAGCTTTGGGAGGCATAGTAAGGAAATGAAAACACTAAAATGTTAGGATTGAACATAAAACTTAAAGGAAACAGAGAATAAATATTAATTCAAAAGAAATTCATCATTCATCATATGTCCCAACGTTACAAACTCAATGGTTAAAAGGCTAAAATAAGCTAACGGTCAAAAGATCTCAACCATTTAAGGAAGACATCTTGACTCTTAGAGAAAAAAAATAATTATAAGTAAAATGGATCCAAAACTAGTAGTAGTTTGATAACCAAGTTGGGGCTTCTCTCTCTCTCTCTTGGGCCTATTGTGGTTTGGGCCCTCACTATTGCTAACAAATCAACAGAATTGAATTTGAAAGTATGGTAATCTTTTAATTAGAACCTGACAAGTCCCCTATTAAAAAAAACATGCTAAATTAGGACTTTATGATTGAATGATGATTGTAGTGTAATATTTTATTTTAAGGACTACATTTTAATCAAAGCAATTCAGTAAGTTCATTTTTGAAGTTTAGAAGTACGCTCCTTTATCAAGAAATTAATAAAGTTGCTCATTTTATTGTCCTACACTCGTTTATTAGTAAACCACATCTCAGCCTAAAGTAAAAATACTACTAAACAGAATATTCTACAAGCCTTAAGTCCTATGTTAAGGAATTCAACCTAGCTCTTATGCCTATGTAAGCCACTTGCATTATCGTAACAAATAAGCATTTAATATACACTGTCATTTTAGTGAAATTAATACTAATTTGAGCATCACCTTTTCACAAATATTCACCCATGTTGTCTTGATCGATTTAGAACTTAGACATATCCTAACCATATTCGTCGTTTCAACTCAAGCTCAAGATTATAGACAGGTATAGCCTTTTGATCGATTTCTTCAATAAGTCATAGCTTAAACTTACTCAAGCTTTGTTCGTCTTTTACACTCAAGGTTGGTGGGTTGTTTATTATCTTGGTAAAAGACTGACTTGAGCCCAATGAATTTGGTCACCATGCTCAAATGAAGGATGGTTTGGCAATTAAAAATGACAAAGAGGAGAGCCCTCCAGTACAAGGACATCTAAGGATCGTATTGCATTTCATTTGGAGGAAAACTATGATCGATTCTGTCCTTGGCAAAAACCTTCTTTCAAAATTCAAACCCAGACAAAATTCAATGGGCCACAGCCATCCAATTTTTATTTGCTTACAAAAGTAGAAATTTTGTACATAAAAAATAGTTATTCATTTAAGAGAGATATGACACAACCCTTGTTATTCTGCTATCATAACAGATAGCAAAATTAGCAACCAGAGGCCATTTTATTTCATTCGCATCCCTGCATGCTCTTACATACACATACTCCATCTGGCTAATTTAAAGAACTCGCAACATAACACAAAATACAGAAATAAAAAGACTCTCAAAGCTTAACACATTCCTTGATGCATGGTTTCTTCCAATCAAACCTCTCACTCACGCATCAGCGTAACGACCACGCTCCTCCCTCGGCAACACGAAAGGGAAAAAGAATTCCTCTTTTCTGTCGAAGACTTGGTTCACCATATCCGCAGGATAGTTAAATGCCAGCTCCTTAGCAACGGTGTCAAGAGAGCTCACAATGTTGTTCTTCCCTGTTACACACGTCACACAGTTACAACTAAAAACTAAATGAACCTGTTAAATGCATGGCACAAGGATTACGGATTACCAGCGAATGTAAACTTCTTGTTCTCTCGAGCGTTAATCTCGAAGCAAATAATGAGGAGATTCTCTTTCCTTGAAGCCATGGTGACGAAGGGGTGACCGGGAGGGACAACAAACACCGTTCCAGGCTTCAAGTTGCTGCTGATGCTATGGTATGAGGGGCTACTCTTTTCGTGCTCTGACTCTGACTTTGATGCGAGGTGTGGACACGCAATTTGAAGATGCCCAGTACCGTTGATCACCAGTGCTATCTTTGTTGCATGTGAGTTGTAGTGAATAGTACTCATAGATCGCTGTGCATGGAATAGATCAGTGCCAAAGGAGAACATGCAACATGATATTAAACGAATATTATAGTTATTAGTTTTTATATATATAAAAACTTGTTTATATATATACCTGGGTGATGTTGGTAAAGGTGAGCATGATATTCAGTGCTTCAAGGCCACTCTTTGAATCAGAAGGACCAACTTCAGTTAGACGACCATTTCGGTTGGAGAAAACCGGATACTTCCTGAAAAGATTGAATGGAGCCTTGGATGGCCCACCGAAAGGCCACCAAGAGCCTTTCTTCGGGGCCAACGCTTGCAACTGTTCTCTGCTTATTTCGAAAATCCTTCCCTCGTTCTGTTGATTGAAAAGCTTTTCCAACTTTCCTTTTGGGGTCTGTAATTTCCATTTTTTCGTGTAAATTAATTAGTCAAATTCACAAGCCAAATCAAATGAGTATATCAATTAATAAACTAATTGCATATATATATATATATATATATATATCTAGCTAGCTAGAAGGGTCTACTTGGAGCGCAGCTTGCAGCACATTCCAGCCGAATGCTGAGAGGACCGATTCCGGGTCTTGTCCTCCAGGTCCGAAAAATTCCTACACCACAATTTCCTTAGATCAGATTATATAATATTATTCAACTATATAATATCTTCTACTTTGTTTTATTAATGAATGTGGTCTCGATCATGCACGTTGATTTACTCAATTAACCTCAAATTTTCCAGGAGTAGAGATAGGCATATGGAGCATCGCAAAGAAGAGCTTCTCATTATCATCTCTGTTAGCTATGTATAGTGGGGTGCCAGCTGGTATCCTCAGCATGTCTCCAGCTTCAAGACTGAATTTTTCTGTTTCACTTTCCCTCACCATGCCAAGCAAGGCTTGCCCTAGTAAATAATAATACAAGAAACCAAGAGGAAAAATTAATTAAATCACAAAAATTGTACAGCATCAGCAGTAAACAGACATGAAGAAATTAAAAAGAAATAATATAGAGTTGTTTAAATATATATACCCTTCACGATGAACAAAACAACCTCGGAATCAAAGTGGAGTGGAGACATGAAAGCGCGTGCCTTAGCTTCTATGATGGCCAAACGAAAATTGTCGATGCCTTGAAGAAGCTTTGATTTCTTAGTGAACTTCTGAAGAAGCCGAATTCTGCCACTCTCCGTCTCCACTTTGGTGTCAAAGCTAGATTCTTCAAAAACATAGGGATTTTCCTGTTGCTTCTCTTGCTCCCCTTCATCATGACTTTCTTTCCCTTCATGATGGTGATGGTGACCCCCTTTTACCTCCATCTCACGCTCTTTCTTCTCACGAGTTTCCTCTTGGATCTGCTTCTCTCGCTCTTGCTTTGTGCGATGGTACACGTCACATCGTTGCACGCATGCCCGCTTGTCGTCCTCGGTATATTCGCATTGCTGTTGGCACTGGTGTTTGCATGTTATGAGCTCCGGGTCTTCTACCTCGGTTACTTTTTTGCACAAGGCTAGGTTTGAGAATAAGGCAAAAGAGAAGAAGAGAAAGATAGCTAAAGAAAGGTTGGTTCTCATGGCCATGGTGAGTGAGGAATAACACAGTCACTAGTGACTAGTGTTTGTTTGTTTGACATGAAAGAGGGCATGCATAGTGTGTTGTTTATATGAAGGGAAAAGGGATGAGTAAGGAATGCGATTGCATGCAGTTGGACATGTGTTTACGTACGTGTCTCGTACGCAGCAAGCAAGAGCGGTAACTGTTGCCAAGTATATCTTCCCACCATGCATGTATACAAACTTTAAAGAGACAAAACTTTCCTTTTTTTTATGCCACACCCGTGCTCTCTGCACCGTTCGTTTTTTCTGCCAACCATCATTTTATAGAAATGGTTCGGCTCTTTATAAAACAAAAATGACATTGAATCACAATTTGCATATTATAAAGGTTGATTATTGCAAATATATCATATGGTGACATGATATAAATTATGGATAATGTTATTGATTATTTTTAATATAAATTAATGATGTTTAATTATTTTATTTATTGTATTATTAATCATAAAATTAAGTGAAAAACAATTATGATTCGTAATTATTTACTGAACATCTTATATCAATATATGATATTCAAATTTATATACGATTGACGCGTGTCATTTGAACTTGTGAACGGGTTCACAACTGCATGTATTTGTAATGATTTGATTTTTTCTCTCTCTATTTAACGCAACTTCTATTACTTCTTGAATAAATAATCGCAAATTACAACCGAAGCATAACAATAATATATATGTATGTCAACGACAACGTAGATCATTTATTCGGGAAACTGATAATGTTAGAAATAGTAACAATTATGTGTAAGATTTTATGTTGACTAGGCAGCAGTTGAATAGAGGTACACAATTGAGCTATTCGTCGAGCAGGGACCAAGATTAACTATTCATTAGGTGCCAATTGCGCATTACCATGATTCCCAACTTCAAATTAATTATTCCTGGAGTTTTCGTGGGCGTTTCTGCTTCATTGTTCTTGATTCTACTGATGCTGGTGGCAGAATCTCGGACTTGGGAGCTTCAACTTCGGCGATGGTTTTCGAAGCTGCATTTATTTTTAGATAAGTTATTTTCCCTTGATTTTGTCAATTTTTTCACGGAAGATTTAGCTGGGTTTTTCTTTTATTTCAACAATTAGCTAATGGATATTTTTGTATATAGCGTTACTGGAAGAAAAAGAAATAAAATAAAAGCATTATAAATTTTAACAATCATATTGTGTATAATCTTTACGTGTTTTTTTTTTTTTTGTCCACATACTTTTTCTCGAATTTTTGACTAAAATAATATTTTTTAAAAAAAAATACTAATATAACACTTGTATAAATTTATTTACAGAACTAAACCTGTTTACTGTTCATAGCTCAGAATTCGGTTTCCCGGAAACCGAATTCTGAGCATTGTTATTTATTTTTATTTTTTTATGCCCAGAATCCAATTTTCGGGGAACCGAATTCTGAGTACTTTTTAATTTATTTATTTTTTTTGTTTTGAACTCCGGAATGTGTAAATTTTGCAACTGGAACGGACCGTTCTCCTAGTAAAGTTTTAAGCATAACTTGAATTTTGAAACAAGCCATTCCAAACAAGGATTTAAGGCCCTTTTAGTAATTTTGAACGGGCCGTTCTGGGCTACTAAAAAGGCCTTTTTAGTCATGTGTATATTTGTTCATCTGGAACGGACGTTCTGATTGCAGAACGACCCGTTCTGAATCCAGTTTTTGTCTTTCTTCAAAAACGAAAATGCAAAAAAAAAAAAAATTTAACCCTGCTCAGAATTCGGTTCCCCGAAAATTAAATTCTGAGCTATGAATAGTAAATAGGTCTAGTTGTGTAAATAATTTTGTACATGTGTTATTTTGGTATTTTTTAAAAAAATATAATATTTTAGTCAAAAAATTTCTTTCTCGTTTCTATCATTTTTATATGAAGGGACTAATTCTGTATTCAAAGCCCATAAACATTTGGGTTGAGGGAGAGATGAATAAAATGTTGTACAAAGATTGAAATATGTAAAGTTACATGAAATTACTAATTGTGAACCTAATAATAATTACAATATGTACGCATTAATTAATTTTATTTTCGATGGTTCAATAATTTTAAACTTCTTTTATAATTATTAGTATTTTTAAGTAAATTAAGTTACCTTGTGGGCTTAAAGGAGAAACCGCAATGGGTGGAAGAGTTTGGCCATTTGGTCCAAGTACAGCTGGGCCTGCCCACAAAATTATTTCAAGAAATTAAATGCATATTCAATTTTTTAATAAAATTAATAAATATACTTTTACTTATTTTATAGCATTTTAAAATTTTATTATATTTTTTAAAAAAATTGATCCTAAACATGCTCTAAAAACTTCAATAAGTGTTATTAAAAAATAATAATAATAACAAAAATATATTTAAGGCTAAAATAAATATAAGTTGGATTTGTGTCAGGTCTCTGTTAATAAATTTTAAACATGCAGTTGAAACTCAGCCAACCTAAGATATAATTGTCTCTAATTCAAGGAATAAAAAATAATTTAAGATAAAATTAAATGAATGTAAAATGCTTTAGCCAAAAGCTTGCAGACAATGCAAATTGGCAAATTACTTTCCATCACATAAGCACCATTCCTTAGCTCTAAGAGAAGTAAAATATTGGGTTGATTGCGATTATAAAAAATGAGAGCAACATTAGAATAAATTAAACAATACCTGGAGCTGGCAAAGGAGAACCAGAGGCTGCAATGTACAAAAACTATATTACAATAGATATCCAACGGTTTTCTTACGAAAAAGGAAACATGAAAAGGTCATAAAATTTTGTAGCCATTCAGCTGAAATTGAACACGAATTGCACCTTTACAAAGTGCAGGCATTTCATTCACGTTGCATGCTTGTGGAAGGAAGAGTGCAAGAGCTGTGTTAATGGGTAACTGAAGTGGAACATTGGCTGATATTAGAAGGCAAGCACAGTCCACACTAGTGGTTATCAAAGACAGAAACGAATCACAGCACGAAGCTGATGGTGTTAAACCATTGTTGGTGCTTCCTGTGATGAAGTTGGCACAAGGTGTGATGGTGTTAATCATAGAGGTTGTGCAGGGCGTGCTAATCTGCGCCGTGACCAAATTTAGTGAAATGATTATAAGGACAAATAATATCACTGTCATTTGGAAAAAGCTGAGGTGTCCCATTAGTGACAGCAGGATTCTCAGTATTGGCTGTATTGATTAAAGATAAGGACATTATTTATATGCTGCAATTCAAAGAATGACTCAACATGATTAAGGATTAGAAGAAATAGGTAGATTTGAACATGAGGTAGGGGTTCAACTACCTTAACTAACGTTTCTATTAGAAGAATCTTGTCAATTAACATGGTTTGACATAGTTTTAGTTTGGTGAGGTTGGCTAGAATGGAGTTTTTCATATTTTGAAACCAAATTTTTTAATACTCATTTTAGGGAAATGTATCCCCTGACTTTGTGGAGGGAAAGTTAGGGTAACTTAATACATTTCAACCGTTAGATTTGTAATAAATGATCAGATTGTGACACGTGTACATTTAAGTTAAAATATATATTGTACACGTGTCACAATCTGATTTATTTTTATACATTTAACGGTTGAGATGTATTAAGTTACCATAACTTTATTTCTCCAAAGTCAGAGAATTCGGATCCCTCATTTTAGTCTTTTTGACAATCCATTCAAGGCAGGAGCCTAGAACAAAAAGAATAGTATTTTAGATATCAAGTAAATGAGGTTTTAAAAAAATATTTGCTAATAATATTTCTCACAAAATATAAGTAAAGAAAATTAAAGTATTAATTAGTAAAAAAGTAGCGTATTAAACGTATAGGTTTTTTTTTTAACAACGATTATTGTTTATATTACTTGCAAATCAAGCTAGATAACAAATTTTTCATGGATTCTCTGTGCACATGTAGGTGTAATATCATTCAAATATTCGGGATGAAAGTTTATAAATAGGATCCGCATATTCCAATTTTATTTATTTTAAAATGTATGTTTGATAAAATAGTTTATTTGAAAGTATTTGTTAAACTATCTGAAAAGTTAACCGATCGATAAATATAAAAATGATATAAAATAGTTTGTAAGAGAATAACATGTAGACAAAAATGTTTTTAAATTAAAAAAGGTAAAAAAAATATTTTAAGTAAATTATAAGTATGAAAAAAGAGAAGAAAAAAAAACTAAGAACATATAAGTTATACATAGAATATGTTTAATAAGACATTTGAAAAGTTTATAAATTCTTTTGACCAACTTATAAATTAATTTGACGACTAAGGTAAGGTTGTTTAACCCAAAAACTTATTTTAGAAGTTTATGACTTATTTTTATAAACTAATTGAAGTATATATCTTATAACTTATAATCGGTAGTTTTTTTTTTATTTAATTTTTCTCTCTTTTATATATTTTTTTTTTATCTTCATTAATTTACTTGAAATCTTTTTTTATCCATTTTAAAATATAAACCATTTTATTTGCATATTATTCTCCCACACTCATTATTAAATAAATAAATCATTTTATATTAATTAGTTAGCTTATAAGCTTCCATCCTTTTAGCTTTCAACTTATAACTTATAAGTTTTTAATTAACTTATAAGTTTTCAATCAACTTATAAACTAATTTTACTAAATACATTTACAAATTATTTCAATTAGCTTATAAAAATTGAGAGTTGTAAGGTGGTCTAGATTGTATGGGAGGATTAGCATAAAGCTGAAGTGATAAAAATTAAAATAAAAAATAAATAAAAAAGAATATGTTTTAATCCCTCAACTAAAATAGCTCACAAATTATTATTAGCAATTGATGATAAAATAAGCTATAAATTTCAAAAATAAACTTTCATAATAAATAAATTTATTCGATCAAATTAATATATAAAATAAAATAACTTATAAGTTCATCAAATTCCTTACCGAACATACTTATACTACATATTTATCATTTTCCACACGAAAATGACTATTAATTTAATGAGTCAAGTGTATGTTTTCAATCACTTTCTCCAATAATTAGATCCAACACAACATATCTTTTAAGCCTAAATTAAATTGATATGAGTTATTGTTAATTCAAAATTTAAAATCAAATTTCGGGAGTAAACATCCTCTTCAATTTTTTTACTAAAATTTTAAAAATATAATTGTCACACTTTGTAAAGTGTACATTAATTTCATAAACTTTATTTTATTATTTTTAAAAAAATTAGGAAATGAAATAAATAGAGAGAAAATAAAATGAAGATGATCCATTTTCTAAATTTGATGAGGAAAGACATTAATATATATATATTCTCCTTTTCGTTTCTAATTTGATTGCTTTTCTTTAAATCTCAAAACATTTTTAAATTAACAATTTTATTTATAACCTATAATTGAATAATAATATACATGAAAAAAAAATTACAAAGACAACTATAAAAATTAAACTTAATCCTCATACTTCTTACTCTAATTTAATCACTATGTTAACCATAGCGAATATTCTATACCAAATAATTTTAAAGAATTTTGTCTGCAATAACTGTCAATGCCAAAAAAAAAAATTAAAATAATTTTGTTTTATTTTTATATCTCTACTTAATAATCATTAGATTATTTTACATCTGTAAAGAAAAGAAAAAAAACTACATTCTGATAAATGGGCAGTGATTATTTTACATCTGAACCACTTTATTTATAGTACTTTGTAATAATGTCCCTTTATCATATTCTGAATAAGCTCAAGACAAATACGTGTTTGAAATTGCGAATGGGATCCAACTGCATCATGCTACGCAGTTGGGAATTCGTTACCGCAATTCTTTTTTTTTTTTTTTGAGGATTTTGTTACCATAATCACAAATTAAAACTCATGAAATTTTAGGCCGCGATCGGTCTCAGTTTCTGGTGTCTGGTTCAAAATATTAAAGTTAATTAGGTCCTCTTATGTCTTAGTGGTGCCAGAGTCAAACATATTCTAGAATATTACGACACTTTTCTAGTTTTCTTATAGTAGTATTAAACAAAACAGCTCATTAATTATACTTATCAAATAAACACTTCCTTTTGGCTTTCAGGAAAAGTTTAGCCATTCCACGTGTATGAGAAGGTCTTTAATTAGAAAGGGTAGGCAACCTACATTTATAGTAATTATTAGAACTATTTTCCTATATAACCTCCTTCGGTTCCTTTCTATTTTCACCATTGTATCAAAATCAGCACACAACAACATCCAGAGATTGAGAATTCTGATCCAATATATAGTAGAAGTAATGACTTTTAGAGGGTTTGTCTTGTGTCTAATTGTGGTCATGGTGGCCACTATGTGGACTCAAAATGCAGCTCAATCAGGTTGTACTAATGCACTCACTAGTTTGAGCCCTTGTCTGAACTACATAATGGGAAGTTCATCAACTCCATCAGCTTCATGCTGCTCACAACTCTCAAGTGTAGTCCAATCTTCACCACAATGTCTTTGCTCCGTGCTTAATGGTGGGGGTTCCACTTTTGGAATAACCATAAATCAAACTCTTGCTTTGTCTCTCCCCGGTGCTTGTAAAGTGCAAACCCCCCCTGTTAGTCAGTGCCAAGGTAATTAAGATCAATAAGTATATTAATGTATTATATTAACTAAAGTCTAAGTCCCCTTTTTTTTATATTTAAAATTACAAGAAAAACTAAAGTATATGAATTGGCCAATAACAAATTACAAGAAAAATATATTTTTTATATTATTTTTTAATTTTTATCGCTACATCATATATCATACGTCAAAAAACATCACAGATGATAATTTATTAAATAATATTAAAATTTAATAATTAATATTATTAACTTTATTCTGATGGCATGATGAATTTTTTTAGCTGGCAATGGAGCAACATCTCCTTGGGCTGCTCCAGTTGGTTCTCCATCAGATTCTTCAGCTGAATCACCTCAAGCCTCAATTACGCCTTCTGCTTCAGACTTTCCCTCAGGTATGCATACACTTTATACATAAGTTACGTGCACTAAAGTAATTAATGGAAAATCATATTAAACATTTTAAAATAATATATGATCTTAATCGATTCACTTAGTTCAAATAGTTGTGTACACAAAATCTCTTCCCGTCAAAGCCCATTAATTACTAGTAAAAGTAGTAATTGAGACGCTAGTACATGAATTGCATGCATAAATATTGCAGAAAATGCTTTTATATATTGAGTCATTTTGGTGAATTTCAGGTGCAGGATCTAAAACTGTGCCATCAACAGACAGTGGTTTATCATCTGATGGAAACGCTATTAAAGTCCCTTCCTACTTGGTGCTCTATCTTCTTATTACCATTGTGTCTTGTGGCTTAACCTTCACCATGTTCTGATTTTGAGCCAACAGAGGCTAGGGGTGTTCAAATTTTATGTTTAGCGTTCGTTGCCATTGAAGATATTTGGATTTGTACAAATAAGGAATGTTGAATAGAATTATTTGATATGAATTGAAGTTACTTGTTCGTGATGATGGATTGTTTGTTAGTATAGACTGGCTTGGCTACTTTTGTTAGAGTTACTTTTCCACGCAATTAAATAAAGAACATGATTAGTTAATTAAGTATTTATATAATAATTTTATCAAATAAAAATTTATTCGTAAACTTCTTTATAAACTATTAAAGTAAATTAAAAAATTCATAAGAAGGTAGTAAGTTCTCTCTATATATTTGTAAAAATAAAAAATAAAAAAAGCACACTATAACTTTTTTTTTTTTAAAAGACAAAACTAGAATTTATTAAAACCTTAAAAAGTTACAAGGTGTGACCTTTCGAGTCAAAATACAAAGAAAAAAAATCTACAACTAGAAATAAATTGTAAACCGAATTAATATAAATTAATCATCCCATCACCTCAAATATATAACTTATAAGTTTAAGGTATGTGTGCAATCAAAAAACATAGTTATTCAATAAGAATCTTTTGGAAAAAATTATTTAACAAAAATATTTTTAGTAGATTTATTTTTAACGAGTATATTCATAAATTTTTTTCATCCTTGTTTTTAAAATAAATTTCTACAGTTTTAAAGAAATAATTACTTATTAAGATGATTTTAATTATAACACTATAAATATCATAAATTTAAATATAATTTTCTTCAATAATAACTTTTTTTACATGCATTATCACTTAAGAATTGAATTCAATAATAATATTTGCAAAGCACATATCTTCTTAATTTAATTCTATTGATATGCATTTTCAAGATAAAGCGGTGAGAATCTAATAAATATCAAAATAAACAATACTTTATTTAAAGTTATCTTTACGATTCATCAATATCCAAGTTGAGGTTAGAACATAATTTATAAATATTTATTTTTATAAATTTTAATTATAATATAATTTATATAATCAAATTATTTAAATTATTTATTTATAATATAAAATAAATATTTATTTCGTAGTTTGTACAAGTTTGAATGCCATTTTTTTTTATAAATTCGACGTTATCAGAATGTATCGTGACATATAGCTCTGTTGCAGGGATTAACAAGTCATAAAATGCTAATTAAGCTAAGTATTGTTTTTACACAATTTGCATAAAAATGTAAATCATGATGCTTTTAATTATTTGCAAAACAAGATAAATTTCACTAGTTTAAGTTTTATAATTAAAATAAAGAGTACTTGAATTTTGTCATTGATGTAAAATAAAATACAAAACCTATATGTAGAACACAGTTCAGATATAGTAACAATATTTACAATGACCCATTAACAATATGATGATATGTTTCTATTTGAGCTATTTCCTTATCCTTTTAGCAAAGAAACAGGACAAACGGTGCCTCCTCTTCTCAATGATTGAGTATGCCTTTCACCGCCGCAATAGAAAATAAAGCAACACAAAGATATAAAAAAAAAATCATACATGTTAAAATTATCACTCTAGAAGACTTTAAGTGGCCTTTCTTTTATTAGCTTCATTGGACTCTTTATAATCTTTGTTCGAAAGTAATTAATGGCCTAATGGAAGATAAATTAATATGAAAAAAGATTTTGTCTTCCTACCGTTACCTTATAATTAATTAGTTTATATGTATATCGATACAATGATTTGCGTAAGTGTTTCAATATATAATTATATTTTTAATTAAAAATAAGTTTTAATTCCCTACTTCAACTTGAGAATCCAATTACAATTTATAGGTGTATTATATAACCTTAAATAGACTTAATAGGATAGAGTTATAACTCTTGTTTATATATATATAATGACGGATCTAGAAACTTTAGATAGTAGAGGCAATACTTATTCATATATTTGTAATATTAAAAAATTTATATATAATTTTTAGAAGTATAAATATATTTTATAAATACTTTTTATAAATTTTTATATTTATAATTACGATTAAGGATGAAAATAAATTATATTAAACTATGTTATATTATTATTTAGTATGTTTGAACTTAACTTTCTTTAAAAAAAAATACATGTTCTAAATATAACGTATTTATCTATCATAAATATTTTTTAAATATTTAGTTAAAATTATAATTTTAAAGACTTATTTTATAATAATTTAATACTAATAAAAATATAAAAATAAATATGTTAAATTTTATAAAAATCAAGTTTAATTTATTTATAGTATAAACATGTTTTTAATATGTGATATAAAT